AGGAAATAATGAAAACATCAAAACAATTTCAGTCCTCACATTAAAGCTAAAGGAGCATAAAGTTTGCATTGTGTTTTCTTGTTTTCGTAGACATTTGAGGAGTAGGGGTGCCGCGAAATTTTTTTAGCATAACAAGGATGCCGAGGTCAGAAAAGTTTGGGAACCCCTGCTTTATACTATGTATAGAAGATAAGCACGTTGCGAGGAGCATAGAAAAAATGTCGATGAAAAAAATATATTTTTTCTCGGGTTCAAAACTATCCTATCTCTTAAGTTGGAACCAACAACAATACACACCCACAAAATTTCATTGAAATCGGCTAAGCGGTTTCGGAGCTTAAACGAGCACAGTGACATGGGATTTTTATATATTAAGATAAACGTATAGAAAGAAACGCAAATATATTTTATATGCATGAGACATAACATACTTATTTTATCTCAATTACACAGTGATACAAAAGTAAACAAAAAAATATAACCCCCGCATATTTTTTTTGTTTACTTTTGTATCACTGTGTAATAGAAATTATGTTTTGCTATAACCCATAGGACACGACTTTACTTAGAGTTTTTCTCTATCAATTCGTCGATTACTTATTTTCTAACAAATATAATAAACCTTTGGTGTTCTTCAAATTACAATTTCAAGAAGTTATAACTTTGTTGTTTTTCGATCGAATTGAAAATTTTCTTTTCTGTTTGAAAGCTACCGGTTTTACCTTTCTAACAAGGATGAAAATGGTCCGGAGAAAGGCTAAAAATTTTTTTTTTTTTTAAGTTGTCGAATTAGCGCTTTCTTTATATGACATGCAAGGTTTCTCAAAATTTCACTGTTAAAATCAAATCTCTCTTTCAAGCAAATTTCAATACGACATTGCTGAATATGTTTTTTAATTTTTATAATTTGATCTTTGCAACTATTATCAATTTTAAAGAAAGTATTACCTTTACCTGAACTGGCTCTACACTTACCCTTACTTACCACTTACTACCCTAATTTTTGAAGCTTTTATTTATTTTGCTCATCTTGCAGTACAACGAAAACGGCGCTCATTTTATGTAGTTATATAGATTATTAGATACCATTTGGAAAAAACTTCACTTGCAGTAATTTCTACGTGGTAAGTGCTCTTCCATTATTCGGTTTCATAGGGATTCGGATACCTTCCTCATTGAAGTAGTAAAGAAAATTCGCTTAAGTGCTTTTCTCGGTTAAGCGCACAAGTTTTTTGTGCAAAGAAGGATGGGCAGCTAGCAAAATATACTGTACCTAGTTTGGTCTTCATCGTTGTACCTTCATCGTAACAAGATATGAAAAATAATTGCAACGTGCTCCATGGGCGTCTAAAAAATACAGACGTGATGGAGCAAAACGGACTTCAGATTCGTGTTCAGCGACCCCAAAAATATTTCATAGACTATGTTTGGTCAAAGGAACCTTTCGCCGTTTTTTTTTTTTGTGGACCTGTGTAATTATTGATGTTGGGTTGCCGATGAGCAACGCCACTGTAATGAATAGCAACTAGTTATGTTCTATAAAGTTGAAGATAATACAATTTTAAAGGGCCAGCAACTAAAACTTGAGTGTAAACAAGCTGAAGAAACAGTTATAAAAAGAAAGAAATTATCTCAATCAAAATTTCAGCGGCGACCACAAAAATGCAGTTGCCAATATAGCAACTCAGTTGCTATCTTGCAGTTGCCATCTGTAAAACCATTTCAGCCAGTGGCCACCCAACTGAAGATCGGTTGCCGTATGGCTAAGTCAGCTCAGCTCGAGGTTGTGGTCACATAAGTATACATCTCTTCTTATTCTGCTCTATTTCATGCTCATGAAAGGTATAGTTTTCAGATTTCAAATCAGTGAAGTAGGTAACAAAACATAAATTTAAACATTTTCTAAACTACTTCCCAGGGTATCTATTAAAGTGCTGCAAAATTAAAAAAAATTTAATTTTAAAACATTTCATGCATTGCTATACCATGTCCTTCCATCTCAAACATACTGTTATAGCATGTCATTGCTTCTTAGCTCAGCTGTTGTGTTTCTGCAGCATATTTTTAGTACTGTTTAATCCTGCCTTGTTTGAAAGTATATATAGATTTTTAATTAGATAATTGTTAAATAAATTTTACTATAGTATAGCAAAATTCGCAAAATCTCTTTCCGTATATACATACATACAATGTAAATAATAATGCTTGTGTTCCTTGTGTTAACATGCACAGATTTGAACTGAATTTATTCGGCAGTGTCTTCATATATCACTTTAAACCATGTATAAGCGACATGATATAAACTGGCCTTGCATGATGTGTTACATATCGCTATGTTTTGTAGCTCAACATTTGCAGGTCTTAAGTATCTATATACAATTGCTCAGTCATACGACTTAGTAAGGGCGATCTGTAGCAGCCACAGAGTTGAGCTATATATCAAACTAAAGTGCAAGCTGGAGTTGCAGTTGGCCGTGTTTGTTACAAAAGTAAAAAGCGGCAGAACGGTTGATAGTGAGTAATACATATTATCTATTGAAAAATATTAACAAATTTTCCGTGGAATTGAGATTCGGAAAAGTTATTAGGTATTATTCATAGTTTTTAAATATATTTCACGAAAGCAAAAAATAAAAAAAGTTAGGATCATTTTATTTTTTAAATACCAAGGATATCCTGACCATTATAAAGGACCCTGAATGACCGCAAACCTCAAAGCTTTACACATTTTTTGATGTGATTTTTAAAATAAACGATACAAATTTAGCCGGTATACATGTTTAAAATTTTTTAAAACCAGTGGTTGAATATTTGTACTGAAAGGGTTAACCCCAAAATCATAATCTACGTCTGCGAGGCGTATACGGAATGGGTAATTTTTTTTTTTAATTTTAACACAAAATTGAATCAGTTACACTCACAACTTCAATAAGTATTCTTTAAAAAATAAGGCAGGACTAATTATTTTTTAGCTCACAGGTCATCTTTTAGGTACATAAGCTATGTTAAGGCTTTACTCCCAAATAGATTAGGCTTCTAGGGTTAAGAAAGCTTTAGTCTAAAAGTGTGATATTGAATGCATTTCACCATAAACGGCGCCAACTTTCAATGATTACTGCATTTCAGATTACGACTAATAAAGCCCTTGGACAGATATTGTGAATGGTTGGACTATACCTTACAGGCTAACATAATATTTGCGGCTTGCGTTTTGGTACGCATGCCGTCGAATTTGTTTGTTTGCGTCACCCGAAATTGGCTTGCGTGCGTTAGGATTTGATTTCATTGAGCGAAGCGTCAAATGAAAATGTCACGCAGAACAAAAATAGGAAATTGAGCTAGCTTCATACGCACGCCGTTTAATTTCGGCTGGCCCCATACAAGTTGCATGTGCATGAGAAATTTTTGACAATAAATTGGCGGCGTGGTCAATCTTGTCATAATAAACGGATTTTTCATACTTCGTTATCATGGTGGAATAATAACAAGGTGTTGTCAGTAGCGACGTGTTTGTTGTGATTTTGACAAGATCGGCATGCTTATTTTCAATGCTGCCGATCTTAATTTTTATACTACTATTCGTTGAACAATATTAATATTTCAAATTGCTGAATTTGTATAATTTTTGTCCTCAAAAAGTAGAAAAATAAAAGATATCGTGGTTATCAATGGAAAAAAACGTACACAAAAATCGTATGGAATGGCGATTTTTTATATTAAATAACTTTTTCTGTATTGTCATAATATTGAGCCAAATGAACTACACTCAGAAAAAAGTCAGTCAAATATATTCCTCTCAACACATGATTTGGTAACTATAAACAAATAATGTAACTATAACCAAATCATGTGTTGATAAAAACATATTTAGTTGACGTAACTAAACTCTTTTCTCAGTGTACTGATACACTAGAATAGAGTGCCTCCGTGGTTAAATTAGGAATTCGCTTATATTATCGATATTTATGTCTTTTAATCTATTTAGAAAATCATTTACAGTCTTATAGGAAATTGCCTTATTTTACGGCTTTTACTTTTTTAAAGTTACAATATGTGTCCAAGCTGTGTGGAGCTGCCGTTATAAACATATTTTCAGGCTTATAAGCCTGTAATTATAAATTTTTCTACATTTAATTTGAAATAGTATGCACCAACGGATTAAAAGTAGTAAATAATTAGTACCTTTTCTTGTACTTTAAAATGCGTGACCGGAATAGACCTGCCGAAAAAGTGAGGTTAAGTTACTGACAACACCTTGTTATTATAACACCATGCTACGTTATAGTCTCTTAAAGTAACTTTGTAAATTGTATTTCTTATTTACGCAATAAGGCGCGACAAAGTTTTATGGGCAGTTTTAAATCGGCATGCATTGGAATGTTTGTCCTCATGGTTAAGTTTTTGGGACGGTCCGAAGTGATTTGCTCAGCACTTAATTTCTCCCTTTTCTTACTATTTTCCAGTGCGCAGTTTGGGTTTTACCACAATATGCTCCGAATATGTTTTGTAAACATCTATCTATAAATAAAGTAACTGTATTAGGGGATTCTTGAAATGTTAGCTGTTTGAATTACGGAACCTTCGTCCCCAGCGTGAACCTGTAGAACTAAGAACGCCTTATTGAAATTATATCTTGCTAATTTTTAATACAAAACTAACTCGTATCGAAAAAACATGGAAAACGTACAATTTTAATATTGGCAACTGTTTTTTGCTTCATCTTACAGTAACACAGTAATACAGTAAAAATAAAAATACGTAGAATTAAACACAAACTATCTCTATATGCACTATTCGACTGTATATTATGTATATCTGTATAAAAATATCTATATTTTATTCTCCGGAACTTACTATAGAATTTCGTGAATTTCCCTACAGGGTATATACTATGTGTATTTTGTCCTACAAAGCTTAATATTTAGTAATTAAGTGATGTTGTTTAGTGTTCATTTATTTCGGCACAAGCACACACAGAACGGAGAGTTTTCAAAGTCGAAATGTTTATAACAAATTTACTACTAAGTGTTTTTATTGTGGCTTTAAGTTATATCCTGTGGTTACGCAGAAAATTTTATAAATTAATGTTCGAACTGCCAGGTCGTTGTGGATATCCCCTTTTGGGCAATGCTTTGAAAATTAAGCAAAAAGATGGTAGGTTTAATAAATACTTTCCTAAATAAAGTTAGAAGTAACTAACGTGCACCTAGAAAAAAGTCTAGCTAAAAATATTTATCTCAATACATGATTTGGTAACTAGAACCCAATGATATAACTATAACCAAATCATGCGTTGAGAGGAGTATATTTAACTCATTTTTGTCTGGGTGTGGTTACATTTCCAAGACGTATCACATAAATAGTGTTGCCAATTTGAAGCTGAACCATACATTAAGTTGAAGTGGATTTGTGGAAGTATGTATCAGAACAATATTAATTTAAGCATTTACCAAATCCAAAAAATCTTTCAACTAAATTAACGATTTCGCTCAACATATCTTTGGTAATAGTTCGCAAACATTGTCGAAATTCGGCAATTAAATATATTTAGTTGTCGAAATTAAAACCTAAATCTTACATATGTTAACCGGGATGTGGAATAATTCATTTTTAGCGCTCCTTTATGCGTGATTCATTTTTTTCCGTACAAATCGGGGAGTATTTTCTTGTACTACGTGTTATGAAATTAGTTCCATATAAAAAAAACTTTTGGTAGGTTTATACTACGTTCAAATTGACGAGCTAAACATGTTAAATGGGCTTGAACCAGCCAAATGAACAAAACATGTTCATAAACAAGTTAAATCGCATGCAATTGTTGTTGGAAAATTCAACCAGTTAAATCATTTAACTCGTTTGAAAACTAGTTCAGCGCATAGTTGTATTAAAAACCTTTCTGCTCCGGCAAATCAGAAATACCCAAAAGCTTTTATTAGACACGCTAATATTACGTTCAAATTGCCCCCATTTAACTTGTTAAATGAAAAAGAGCTTTTGGAAAACACAATCGTCCACATTAAACATTTGGAGTTAACTTTGACGGTTGTTTGATTACCAATAAAAATTCAAAAAAAATATTCAAAATCAAGTCTTTGTGTTTCAATTTGTTTTGTGCGAATGTCTGCTTCATGATATTAACGCATACGGATTACTTAGAGACAAGGCACATTAAACAGGTAGTATCAGTAGAGCAAAAACAACATTTGCGTGTATTTTGTTGTTGCTTCTGGTATCGAAAGTGTCAAAAACTGTTCTGAATTTTTTCTTCTAAATCAAAGCGTGCCATGTGAAATACAAAAAATTATAAAAAATAAAAAATTGAAATTGGAAAAAATAAAAATTGATGCAACTTTCTTTCCTAGTAAATTTGTTTGCTTCTCGAAGCATTGATCCATCCTTTGCAAGGCCCAGTAATCAGCGGTCGTGCTGCCGAGTTGGGCGAACGTTCCAAAAGCTGCTATTCAATCGCTTGTTTTGTATGGAAAAAGGTTTCACATGCAAATGGATTTTAACAATTCAGAATTTTTGTGAGAAAAAATTAAAAATATTTGACATTTTCGAGACCAAATAATTTGAAAATAAATCAAATCAGCTGCTCTACTGATACTACCTGTTCAATGTACCTTGCTTAGAGACTTCAAAATGTTTAGTTTGTATGCACTATTGCGTACGATGAGACCTCATGGAAAATAACTAATTACCGCCTTGGCCTCTTTTTTGGCGGGCAGACATGCATACAATTATGATATTTTTTGATAATTTTTTTAACTTTTAGTATTTTTCAGAATATACATTTTTTGAACGTTGGCGTGTCAAATGAAAGCATTTGGGTCTTTCTGATTGGAGCAGAAAGCTTTCTGATACAACTCTGCGCTGAACTGGTTTTCAAAGGAGTTAAATGATTTAACTGGTTCAATTTTCCAACAACAATTGCATGCGATTTAACTTGTTTATGAACATGTTTTGTTCATTTAACTGGTTCAAGCCCATTTAATATGTTTAGCTCGTCAATTTGAACGTAGTATAACGCTCAAAAAATGTATATTCCCAAAAACATTAAAAATTAAAATTATGAAAAAATATCGAAATTGTATGCATGTCTGCCCGCCAAAAAAGAGGCCGAGGCGGTAATTCCTTATTTCCCATCAGGTCTCCTCGTACGCAGAGATAAATAGTGCAGCCTCTAAGTAATCCTTATGCTTAGTATCATGAAGCAGACTTTCGCATAAAACAAATTAAAACACAAAAATTTGATTTCCAATTTTTTTTGAACAACCGTCAAAGTTAACTCTAAATGTTCAATGTGAACGATTGTGTTTTACAAAAAGCTCTATTTCATTTATCAAGTTAAATGTGGCCAATTTGAACGTAATATTAGGTTGGTTTTGGTAGGAAATAAAATTTGTCCGTAGCAATACTGGTTAGTATAAATGTATATTTGTGAACTACTACAAAACAAACAACAGTCAAGTCACTCCAGGAGCGGGTTATATAAGAAATAATAAATAAATAAAGATAATTATACAACCAAAACTTTTTCCCTCAAATTGATTGATGCAACTTTAGTGGTAACCGGTGGATTTGAATAAGCAGCAAGAGTTGTAAAAGTTACACTTGAGGCGATCACCGTAACACTCTTAAAAGATGTACTCCGAACTTGCCGAGTTTTCCCAATTTTCGTGCATGGTATTTGGGCATGTGTAGTAATTTACGAAATAAAGCTGTAGTAAAATCACTGCCATACATAACATATATATGTACATACAAATGTACGATTGGTCGGCTTTCGTCTTCCCCTCGCCGCTCCCATCAACACAAATTATTCAATTTCTGGGAATCGACACCAGATTGGCACGTGCGCGAAAACATTAACCCTACGTTTACGAAATATTTAAATTTTCGCATAAGTTTGAATTTAATAAAGCAATACTCGTACATTTTGTATGGATAATAATATTAATTAATTTAAAATTCTGCATGTAACTATGTTCTCGTCGATACATGTCACTTTCATAAAGATTAAACATAAAAATTGTGCTTCATTTACAGTTTGAACCAGCAGAAACCAAATAAACTATGTCCGCTAAAATGGGTTAAACACAAACTGGAATTGACATTTTTTACACGCATGCATGCATACATTCATATACACATGTACAGTGGAGTAGCACTAACTTGGAC